CACATCTATATTATCTCTTCATTTCACCATATCTCAGAGTAGGGAAAAAGATAAGGGAAACTACTCAGAATTCATGAGAAAGATACAACAAAACACAAATTGTATATATAAAAGAAAGTTCAATATAAAAGAAAGTTCATAGAAAGTTCATACAACACTAAATAAACAAACAAACTTTTTTGGAACTCTTTCTCAATGTAAATCCTTTGTAACCTCTCCTAGGAAATGTAAGAAGAAGAAATCTTTCACTTTTCTCCTTCTCCAAACACTCTTAGAGAAGAATTCACACTTAAACTCACCACAAAAACTCAAAACTGTAAATAAATAAATGACAAATGGAATCTAAGTGGTTGTGAGGAATGTGGAATAGAGTTGAAGAGAGTGGAAAGCGGTGTGGTGATTACGAACAAGGAGGAATGAGGAGGAACCCCTTTTCTGATCAATTTTGACCCCAAATAGAGCCTAGAGTCGGGAATTACAAACGGAGAAGGTGCATCCAAAAATTCTTCAAAAAGCGTCCAAATTCGTCGAATCTTCTAGAAACAGGGTCTGAACCGACATTGGCGTCGTCGGCACCAGTGGTCCATAATTAATTCGCTGCTCTCTGTCAAACGGCGTCGTCAGCGCTGCTTTTGGCGCCGTCGGCGCTGAGTAAAATCCACCATATGTTCTGTAATTTTTTGCCGTCGGCGTTGCTCTTGGCGCCGTCGGCGCTGAGTATTTCTTCAAAAATGTCATTTTGGCTCCAAATTTCATCCTTTTTGTTTCCTTTTTGCTTCAATTCTTAAAAATCAACAACCTCCAAGAAAACATAAAAATACCTTTCCCTTAAAGTGCAATATCACTAAAATTGAGTATAAAATATAGGTCTAAATATACATGTATTTTTAGTGCATCAAAATCCCTCAAACTTAAGTGTTACTTGTCCTCAAGTAACTTCATTAACTTCAGCTGTTGTGGTTCTTATACTATCTATTTTGGTTCATTTAATTAAGGGTTTAACCTTCTTCCTGTAGGATCGATACTTAAGACTCCATTAGAGCCCTATATTACTTGAGCTATATGCATACTTGCATTTACGACCTAGTGAATATAAAATATTGGAAACACATTTTGGGATTACAATTTTATTACAAAAATAAAATTATTGGTAAATTAAGCGTAAGGGTTTTAATCTATAGAAAAGTTACACACAATAGACCCGCATCACTCACCCTCATTGGACCATTGCCTCTTCCATAGCTCCACCTCAGTGCCACTTTGCACGCTAAATCCTAGCTAATTGAAGATCAAGGGCCAAGCTTAGAAAATGGAAAAGCGTTAAAACCTTGGTGAAGCCTTGCCAAATAGACTCCACACTGTACTTACAGCCTTCCGAAGTTCATCCCCACCATTCCTAAGCCTTTCTACTGCCTTCATAACACTTATTTTGTCTCTGAAGTTTGGGACACTTCTCTGCCTTGACACAAAGAGTTTTAAAACTCCAAATTAAGTCACCTAAAAGCTTAACTACAACCCAAAATCAATTCTCTAATCAAAATCCCCCTCTCCCCCAGTCTATAACCTAATGTTAGACCAAACTTCATTCACCTTTTGGTCAGAGTAACACCTAGGCTAAACCTCAGCGCATATTGGAACTAAGAGGAGGTGCACCACATCTACACGTTCTCAACAATTCCAAATGCGGTCTCACCTCTTGGACAAAGGTAGAAACTTAAAATCTCTAATTTTGCCTCGGTTTGGACCTTTGTGAAGTGATTTAACAATTCATGCCCACCCGACCGTATAGATAAGTCGTCTCACTGAGATGAAGGTTTAGCAATAAAGCCCATGTTATTTGGTTAAAAATCAAGCATGAACTTAGGATTTGAACAATGACATTTCTCGAGTTATAGTCTAGTGGGGATGAACAACAAATTCAGTCCATTTTCATTATTCAGAACGAACAGTGTGGATCGGGTCTGACAGTGTAAAAGTGCAGATCATAACACCGCGAGGTGGACTGACTTAACGTCTAAGGTGTAATGCATGTTGATTCAGCGGATGACACATGGGGCTTCGATGGATGTGAGGATGACACGACACCAAAGTGGTTAAGTTGGAAATTTAGATGTTTTTCAATTAATCAGATCCATAAAATGAATATTAACTTCAAAAATTCATATCTTCGTAAAGAAAAATCATAAAAAAAACTTTTGAACTCAGTGAACAAAGGGGAAACTAATAAAATTAAAAATATTTATAAAGTATTTAATTTTAATTAATTAAATGCTCCAAAGATGTTTTTAAATATTTAAAATTAATTATAAATCATCGTAGCATGAAATTTTGAGGGAATACTCCCAGTGTGATTAGGGACGTCCTCTGATTTTTCCAAGGTCAGAGGGCCCTTTAACATCAAAAGCACTAAATTTTCATGATATTTGCCACTATTTTAAGAAAATAATTTTAAAAACTAAAATACAAATACTAAAAAATGAAAATTAAAGTGTGGAAAGTCAAGGAAAACTAGAGGCACTTAGGAAAAATAAGTACGATGCATAAAATTAAAAATGTATTTTTAATTTTTTGGTTTAAATTTTGATGCTTTAGTCCTCTCGTTATCTTAATTTAAGATTTTGGTCCAAAGGGTGAACCTTTCTTTAATTTGGAATTCTCCTCATACATAATGGGCTTCTTCCAGATCAAAGATGTTGTGGGGGTGGTCATTAGGTCATCACAGTGATTTCTAAAACTCTAGGCACCATGAGTCGCATAAGATCTTTTCCGCATGTAGGAATTCAGCTTGGGCTTCTACCAGTTTCAACCCTCATCATGTTAATGAGTAGTTAAGGATTTGGATTTAACCTTATGAAACCATAAGTGAATGTAGAATTGGATTGAAGTTCTATGTGAATGAGTTCCATCTCTAGGCATCTAAGAAGGTCACTAGGAAACTCTAAGGCTAGATCTTAGGCTTCTTTAGGGTGAAAAGAGATCCTCACAAAAGTGAAGTTAACAAACCTACAATGCTCTATGGAACTGAAGGTTGGCCTTAAAGAGAAGCATAAAACTAAATTAAGTGTTGCCGAGATAAGAATGCTTAGGTGGATGAGTGACTTTACACTTAGAGACGAAATTTGATATGATTGGTGTAGCTCCGGTGGCAGATAAAATTAGAGAGAGTCATCTTTGATGGTTTGGTCACATTAAACTTTGACCATTTGATGATCTGTTTAGGAGAGTGGATGTTTTAGATTCGACATATGTTAAGAAAGGCAGAGGTAGACCTATAAAGACTTGAACATATTGTATAAAAATGATCTTAATCTATTAGAGTTAGATGAACTATTAGAGTTAGATGAAAATCTATTAGAGTTAGATGAAAATATGACACTCAATAGAACGCAATGGATAAAAATGATTCATGTTGCCGACCCCACTTAGTGGGATAAAGGTTTAGTGCTGTTGTTGTTGTTGTTATATCTAATAGGAGATCAAGCATTAATCCATAATGTTTGAATTCTTATATGAACTAAATTAATTATGCAACACATCTACTCTCTCTCCATCTCTTTATGGTAAATTTAAGTTACTTAAAATTGTATTTCTACATTCTATAGAATAATGGGCAGAAAATAAGTTGTACAAAATTTTAGAGTATTTACTTATTGGAGAGGAACTTTTTTGCCGATTTCTCTCATTAAATCTTGTTTGACAAAATTGTATTTCTTTTACATCTTTGACGTGTTTCAAATTTTCATCACTAAAATATTGATATGTCTTTACCATAAAAATCTTCTTAAGCATCTTCTTTAAAATTCCATGAGTTAACCTGCCCATTTTATAAAATATATATATATATATATATATTAAAGATATGCATACTATTCCAAAATCAACTATGCTAGGTCAAGAATGACTGATCCTCCTTTTTTTTTTTTTTTCTTCAAGTATCCAGTTAAGAAGTTTCCTATCAAATTTAATAGTTAACCACAAGTTCAACCGATAGACTCAATCACAAATATCTCTATTTTGAAAAAACTGTTTTCAGGTTAGTGTTATCCAAGTTTTATTTGACCACTTGTTTGCTTTTCCACCTCTCCTCTCACGAGCATGCACTTCTTGTGTCACATACAGGGTTGACTTGTTTCATTTTTAAACCTTCGTTGCCAATAATTTTCCAAAGTTTTACGTCAATTTAATAAATATTAAAATCTTGGATGGTAAAAAGGTATTTAGCTTGGCAGAACATATTTGTAATGAGCTGTAAGGAAATCATTTGCTAACTTACTCTTATTGAGTATTCAAATATGCATTATGTCGTTCATTGTTTCTTATTACATTGTACATTAAATGCTTTTGTTTGATGATATTAAGTTTTAATGGCTTGATATGACGGTATAAATGCGATGTCTAGAAATAGCGATTGCTAAAGCAAGAGAGAATAAGATCAAAGTTTTCTTTTTTGAGAAAATAAACAGAGTATATTAATTTTTAAGAGTCAAATGAAAATAATTCTAATTTTAAGCAGCATGAAACTATTCTTAAAATTATTTTCAAGTTGATAAAATATCCACATCTCTACCAGTTTAAATCCTTTAATTACTTCTAATGATCTCAGTATTATTGAAAGTTTACATGCACACCGCATAATATTTACATATTTGCATATATAACACGTAAGCTTTGATATTTATAGCAATTGCAATTTGTTTTTATAAATTTATCCATGAGATGATGTATTTTAGCCTTAAAAAATAGTAATAGAGAAATTTTCTACATAATGTTCAATACTTGAATGTCATATGTTTAAATATGAAAGTTTTGGTATTAGATATACAGATTAATAGCAATTATGTCGTATCTATGCAAAGGGATAAGAAATTATCTTTGATGGCTAATTGTATTAATTATGTATGCTGATATGCTATTATGAAAGTTGTAGGAGTACAAATTGAGGGGTGTTTCTTCTAGTTGGGAAAGAGGATCACGGGCAAATTTTAAGCGGACCGGGAAAACGAGCTAACCGATGGCTGTTTCTGATCTATTAAAAGGGAATTTAAGTTTATATTAGTATAGCAGAAATACTCTGATTAAGACATTCATTTCAGTAATATTATTAGTACAGTACGTAAGGACGTCAGGTGAACACATCAAGTCTCAGCCCCCATATGCAGCCTTGTAGTCGCTAAACAGCTGATTTACAGTCTTACCCAGCAGCTCCACAAAAAAATCATCGCTATACCCATCCTTCATCTTAGCATTAAGCTTGGCAACGAACCCAGAGTCCAACCCAGCACAGTAATCAAGAAATCGTGCCGTAACGTCGTAGCCCTGATCCCACCGGTCACCCTGCCCGGGCTTCACCCAATGGCCGTCGAGGGGCTCGTACCCGGCCTTGAGCCTCACGTAGTCAGCCACCCCCTCTATAAGCCCTGACGGCGCCTGTCCCTGCCCGTCCCACTGCCACACGTGCGTTGTCTCGTGGTAAAGCACGCCTGTGATCTCCGTTTTCACGTCGCCTGAAAAATTCTCTATGTACTGTGCGCTGACGTGAATAGTGTTTCCGGCAGTGTAGGCGACGCCATCCATGCTCTCGATGAGGCCGGTGATGAGTTGTACGTTCTTGCGGTCGCCTTCGTTGGGTTGGTTGAAAGTGGTCCAGATGAAAGAGCTGGCATCCGAAAGGACCTGCCTGGTGTAATCAACGCCGATCTCGGAGTCAAAGCGGGTTCCGCCGGATGTGCCGATGGCGTTGTTGGTGACTTCGTAATCGACGGCGAAGGAGACTCTTGCTGCGGCGGCGGCCATGGTGAGTAAGAGGGCGAGGGAGGGAGGTGATAAAAGAGTTGTCTTCATTTTGGAGATTGGTTGGTTGTGTGGACGTACCGGAGAACGGGGAGTTGTATATATAATAGTTTGAAGAAGAAAAGTATTAGGAGGATAGAAGTGGCTCTCAGATTTCAATCATTATCACAGGCCATGAAAATAGACCAGACTTAAAAGACTTGGAAATCAGCGACTTGTGGTTAATGAATTACAGTGTTGACTAGATCAATCTCGTCTCCATTATAGAATACCCTTGTGTTCCTCTCATATCGATTTATTGGGCTGTTGCAAAAAAATTCTAGAAATTTGGATTTTTTAAAATGAAAATAAAAAATATACTGATTTACATACTGATCACCCTAAGCTTGCTATTTACAAATCAAACATCCTCTTTCATCCATTTTTCAAATTATCCCTCAAATATCACGAAATATCAAAATTCATGGGAAAAAAATTGAATTGCTATTTACCCCAACCCATTTTATTCATTATACAAATCAAACATCCTCTTACATACAGATCACCCTAAGCTTGCTATTCACCCCAACTCGTATTATTCATTTTTATCAAATTCTCAAGATTTAGATCGTTGTACGAGCACATAAAATGGTTCCGTAGTGCAAAAAAATCATTTGGATGGTTAATTTGCAAATATCAATATTTCAGATGGACTATATATAATTATCCCAAAAATATATTAGGAGAATATAATGCATAAGAATAAGCTTGTTTGTCTCCATTGATAAGTCAAATTTGGTAATTCACTTTAAATAACAAAATATCAGATAAATATGTTTTACTAATAAACAAATAATCCAATGAAATATTCACAAATAAATAAATATTCAAATGCCAAAAGATTCACCGAAAATCATAGCTTTTCAAGAATCATATGATAACACTCTAAAAAGTGGGCAATCTAAAACGGGCACAATTTTAAAATTAACATTTTTTATAAATTTTTTATTTTAAGTAAATGCTTTAAAAAAATATTTTAAACAAGCAATATTTATTAAATTTAAAATAATTTTAATTTATTTGTTATATTAATAATTTTAAAAAATAATTAAAACACTATATTCCAATAAAGCAACTATTAAATTTGAACCCGCAATTACAAAGTTAGAAACCTTCCACTCAACCAAATGAGCTAACTTGATGTTATGATTTTATAATATAATTTTAATAACATATATTTAGTCTCAATAATTTTTTTTATAATAAATCACTACATTAGCAGACGATTTTGCTTCTGATGGCGAAGAAAAATCACTAAGTGAGCGAGCGATTTTGCATGATTGTGGCAAAATCATATGTTGATGTGACAATTTTGTCTATTAGAATATTTTAATTGTTAGCATTTATTTAAAATTAAAATTTTATAAAAAAACTATTTTTAAAATCTTACCCATAAGAAGCCACCTCCTGTTTAAATAAAACGAAAAATCAATAATAAATAAACGAAAGGCGAGGCAACTCATTAGCATTAGAATCACAACATAACAAAAATCACAAAAAAAAACTTCTATTTCCAATGAAAATTTTACTGGAAACCATAAATATTCCCTGATGAAATTCACTTTTTCGCTGTATTAACGATGTATTATAGACTTTATGAATGTTTTTAGTCAAAAATACATATCAATGAATGAAAGAGCTGCTGTAAAAATAACAATATTTCAGAAGAAAAGGAAGAACTACTCCCGAGTCATTCTCCTCATCCTCCTCTTTCTTCTCTTCATCCAACTTTACTATTGGTTGCTTCCCTTAGCAGCTTGCGTAGCAATGTATTTGCACCATTACGGCTTCCATCATAAATAACAGAGCTTCCATCTGAGCAGTACTTCGAGCTTTGATGTCCTGAGCAAAAGTTTTCACATGCCTACAGACCAGTTCTTCAATAGATATGAAGCTCTTATCAGAGAAATATTATCATGCATTGAAGGCTAGCCCTTTAAATCCCAACTCATATATTATTCATTTCTTCTTTCTTATTATAGGTTTTCTTCAAATGTCAAAATATAAATATTCAAATTGGCCACTTGAACTACAGGCGCCTCATAAACTATGGTTCTGAACTTCTTTCACCTCCAAATACTGATCTTATAAAAAAATTGTATGTGTGATCAGCGACAAACTACATTTGCAAATGAGCTGTAAAGAAAGAAGAAGCTTGAACTACAAGCGCCTCATAAACTATGGCTCTGAACTTCTTTCACCTTCAAATACTCATCTTATAAAAAAAATTGTATATGTGATCAGCGACAAACTACATTTGCAAATGAGCT